TACCCGTACAAACACCTATCAAAGGTAGACTTGCCTGTTAGAACTGATTGTTTTTGTCAAAAAGACATCATGCATGGGGAAAACATTAAAGTCTAAATATTTCACTTTAAAATTGAAAAATGGTGATTTCATATAATTAGAGTTGATGATCAAACAGAAGTATGAAGCATATATCTTGAATTTTTTGTGGTAGCACGTAATTACACACTGCCCAGTTTCTATTTCACATCGGTATGTGTGCATTAGTCTTACAGACATTGTCAGGAAATTTTATACAGTATATTGTTATGTAGTTAGAATAGTACAGTAATTGTTTGTGTGTTTTCTTCAGCCTGGGTAGGATCTATCAGTTATGGACTTATAATGATGTTTGGACCACTTTCTGGAAAATTGACTGTGAAATATGGAGCCAGAGAAGTATCAATAATTGGATCAATTATCATAATAATTTCCATTGTGTGCTCATCGTTCACTCCCAGCTTAGGAGTTCTTTTCTTAACACATGGATTCCTCACTGGTTTGGGTTCAAGTTTTGCATTCACACCAGGTATGTGAGGTTCTTGTAGGTTTGTACCTAGCAGATGGTATAGGAACAATACAGTGTTATAGGGACCATATACAGTAGGGTCTTGACATCTGCAAATTTAACATTGGTGAATTTGCTTAATCGTGATTCGATCTGGCCGATGGGGTCTTGGATGGAAGAAGAGCACAGTAGGATAAGACCGAGCTGAAGGATGTTAATCGCACAGACTAGGATCTTACCCACACCCCATCATCCACATCTCAGCATGGTAATGATTGCTCCTAGTTCTGTGGCGGCAGCGTGGGGAAGGACAGGCTCATAGGCTCACTGAGAGTTTTATTGCCCTTTTTCTTATAGTGGATTGTTCTGATCGTGGAGCAGGGAAATAGCTGGAAAGGTAGGGTAGAGAGAGAAAATGCAAGCATCCGCTGGACACGGAGGAAGGATTCATGTCATTTATTTTAGCCGATTGGTGTAATTATGTGATTATTTTTATTTTGTTTTGTTTATCACTATGATTTTGATTAACCTGAAGCCAATGCTTTAGTACTTTAAGTATCATGTAAATGAGGGTTACTTATGTCTTTTAATTATATACTGTATACTATGTACTGCAGTGCATTATGCAACAGTGTAGGAGTGGACTTGGTTATATGCAAATCTGGCAATTCGCAACAGTTTTCTGCACTCTGAACCCCTGAGGATGGCGAGACCCTATTATATATGCAATGAAAAAAAAATTATTGCGATAGGAAAATGAAATTTGTCATTTCTATGTGCGCTTATTGACGTTTCTATTTCTAATCAAAAGACAAATATGAGGCAAAAGTACAAAAATGCTATCTCTCCCACTCTCCAATTTCAGGTTAGAATCAAATTTAAGTAATTTAAATCAGTGTGAATTTAGTATTTGGTCACATATCCCTTACATGTAATGACTTCTTCAATTTTGTGACCCATCGACATCACCAGACTCCCCTTACTGTATGTTGCTATCACCAAGCCTTAACTGCAGCCACATTCAGTTTTTGATTGTCTGTGGGGATTTCTGTCTTTTTGATGCTTCTTCACAAGTAAAATGCATGTTAAATACTGTGGGATTCTAATTAGGACACTGTTATAAATATTTCCACTGCTTCCTGTTGAACTCCTTAGTTGTGCAGTGTGTTTTGGGTTGTTGTCTTGCTGCAGGGTGAATTGCAACCTAATGAATTTGGAGGCAGTTTTGTGGAATTATACATATAGATATTTCTGTACACCTCAGAATTCATTCTCCTGCTGCCATCATCAGTTACATTGTTGCTATTAACCAGTGAGCCAGTTCAGGAGGCAGCCATGCATGCCTGAGCTATGACGCTACCTCCACCGCACTTTACATTTGAACTGGTGGATCATAAGCAGGATCAAATTCCTTTTCCCCTACACTTTTGCCTTTCAGCTCCTTTCATAAAGGTCTAGCTTCGTCTCTTGTGTCAATCAAACTTTGTTTCAACACTGTTGTGGCTCAATTTTGTATGTACTTCTTTGCAAGAAGTTTTAGTGCTGATGAGAGGTTTGTGTTTTGCTGTGAAGCCCTTATACTTTAATTCCCCAATAAAAACCTCCTTTGTACAATGAATTCAGTTACTTTAACCCATGGATATGGTCTGAAATCTCTTTGGCTGTTACTTAAGGGTTTTTCTTCACAGCCCAAAGTATTTTTCTGTCATTATCTGCCATCCTCATCCTAATACAACCTGATCTTTGCCATTGCTTACTACTACAGCAGTTTCTTCATTTTTCAAGGCATTGCATTGTGTCAATTCTGAGTGTCTGTAGTGATTCTACTTGGAAATTCCTTTGTTCTCTATTGCTTTCCCATCAGACAGCTCTTTAATCTCCATCTTGGTTTGCAACTTCTGTAATGTGCCTTGTGTAGGTTGGCTAACAGTAGGGGGCACAGGGGGACCCTGTCAAATATACACCCCACACACAGGTTTGAAGTCAAATGTATGTTTATTAAAAGGGACCATATACAATACCAGCTCGATATCCAACACAGTAAGAGAAATGGGTGATATTTTGTCCAAGGCACTCAAGGTGGTAGAGGAGGTGTTTGTCTTCAGCCCAAAGGCATACTTGATAGTTGAGTGGCAGAAATCTTCAGCCCTGAGGCTTAAAGGGAAAGTTAGCAGCCTGTGCCCTATCAGTGTGTTAGTAAGGCTGGCTTAGTGGTAACTCAGCCTGTGTAAGAGTTGAGGCTGATGTGATGATCCTGTCATTATTATTCTGGCTTCTTCTCCTATACATATGTTTCTCCCCTTCTTCCTAGTTTGATGTGCTATATTTATGTGTGCTGGAGCAGTGAGCATAATTAATCCCTTGTCCAGTGATTGCCAGCATCCAGCCTCTTGGAAGCTGCATGTCCAGTCAGCCATCTTGAATAGGGGAAAGCTTCTAAAAACACAGAGAGGCCTTGGGGAAAGTAACGCCCCTTGAGGATTCTGCCCCTTGTGGCATCATGCTTCTAACCCAAGAACCAGACCCAAAACATAAACCCCAAAGACTGGAACCAAGGCTATATATTCATAGCCCTTTTATGTTTTGACAATTAACGCAACATGGAACACCCAAGCAATTAGAAACCCCTGTCAGTTATTTATCCCAATAGTTGTGCTCAACTGAAATGGGAGAATTGAATACAATTAATGATATTGTACTAACCAGGCTTAACATGTATGAAAAATAATACCTTGAAACAGCTGAAATTCTAAACTTTTGGCTCAATATTTTGATCTGAAATCCAAATTTCATTAATACACAGAAAAAATGACAAATTTAACGTCACTGTCCCTATACCTTTTTTAAACTTTTTTTACATTCTAACATTGGCAGGGCCTTGACTAGTGCAGAGCGTACTAATGTTTTTTATGATTAACTTTTCTTTTTTGTTTCATTTCAGTTCGTGTTACCATTTGCATCTTTTATCATATACTGTACATCTTTTTGCGTGAAATGATAGCAAGCCCACTAAATCTGTGAGAATTTAACACAGGCGTAACTGATCATTTAAGATAGCTAACTTTCGAAGAAGAGATAAGCAGTTTCTCAAATACCGCTGTCTGTAATTTAAGAAATGATGTTAATCTCCATTTTCCTTTTTCATGCTCAAAACGTATTTACATATCTAACAAGCCAATCAGTTTCACTTTGATATTTTAGACTCTCAACAAAGAACTATATAATGATACATTTATTTAATTTTCTCCATTATTCAAGACGTTCACAGTTCAGTTAAAAAAATTAACGAAACTAGCTGAATGCATTTCCATCACATTTAGCCACAGTAATTACATCCATGCCACAATGGTTTCCATATACAGTATCATTAAAACACCATTCCAAAGAAAACATAGCATTACATGTTTGCAGGATTAAACTAATGTTAAAAATGTGTGGGTAGTTATGATTGTTGTAGTTCCATTTTTATAAGAAATCTAACAAGATAGCTGTAAACAAGTCTTTTTGTAGTCTTTTTTATATTTCTATTTTCTATGTTGCAGTGGTCATAGATTTGTAGTACTTTTAATACTGCAAGATCACATTCCTGTTCAGGGGATTCTGGAGCTTTGGTTCCCATATAGCTGGCAGATAACAATTTGGTTTTGTGTCCTAAAGGTATGATCATGGTAAGCCAGTACTTCACCACCAAGCGCTCCTTTGCCACAGGAATAGTGATGTCTGGAGGAGCAGCGGGTGCTTTGATCCAGACCCGTCTTCACCAGTTCCTTATTGCTGCTCTGGGCTGGAGAGAGAGCCTCCGTGTGTTCGCTGCTGTAATGGTGCTCTGTATAATCGCAGGATTTGCATATATACCGCTGAATCCACGAGGTACAAAATATGGATCACATTTGCATTACATTTTACTAAGCTAGCACTGAAAAGTGCAAGGAAACGCTTAAAACTGAAACAACGATCCGTCACACTGGCAGTCAAAATTATGGAGAGCATTATAAATCTATCCGTTTATTTAGGTTAGCTGGGGGGTGGAGCCTGTCTTGGCAAGGAATGGGTGCAAGGTGGGGTACACTCTGGACAGGATGCCAATTCATTGCAGGGCAGACACAGACACAGACACTCACACAAACTCATGCCTAATTTTCCCAGAAGCCATTTAACCTACTCATATGTCTTTGTTTGGACTGTGGGAGGAAACCAGAGCTGCCTCATAAATCTTCATGAAAATTCACTTATAATGAAGGATGAAGGATGTATTCTTGGTGCATGATTTCCCTTTAAACTGACATTTGTCCAATTCTCAGTTAGAGATACTAAAACTCTGTTAATTCCGAAACATAGCAAGTTGTGTTTCTCTTAACATTGCAGCCTCTCAGTGTTTTACCTGATCAGTATCTCAAGTATAGTTTACAGATGATCCCCTCAAGAATCCCTGTTTAACTTGCATTACAGTCCTGCTGTTTACCAATTAATACAGTTTATGATGGTGAACACATTGATATTAATCCACATATGATGGTGCATTTGTTTTTGATAATTGTTTAATAAGATATTCCATCAATGAGATAATTGATAGAACATTATAATCATAACTGTGATGTTTTAAAATAATTTTGTTAAATAAAGACTTTAATAATATCCCTATCCAAAGGGTAATGAATAAGCTTAGCTAAATTAGAGTCTAGCAAATAGGCAGTGATTTCGAATTTCAATTTATGTAAATGAAAATTAACACACATTTTAACACAATTAACACACAGTTTAATACACATCAGAGATATTCTAATGGCATCTAGCTGTAATTCTTCCTGGAAAATTCCAGCTACAGTATTTGGATCTGTCTTAGTACTCAGAATTTGTCAGACATCCACAATTGGATGAACTGATATTTTTTGAGAGACTTTACATGTCAGACCTTGACTAAGTTGAATCTGCTACAGAACTGAGACCGTGGTTACAAAAGTTGCCGTCTGAATTTCTGCCCCTTGATTATATTATGAATTAGTTGTTTTTTTTTATAATAACGGTGTTATATTTTATAATTTTTTTATAATAACGGTGTTTTAAATCTGAGAACGACGTTTGAACATATAAATCAATGTTTTATGCATAGTCTTCCTTCATTGACCACCAGGGTGTTCTTAAGGATGTTTTCTTTTACGCTCATACAACATTTTAAGTATTTGCAGAACAGTATGTAAATACTTGAAGTGCAGCAAACCATGAAGAACAAACCTTATACGAGGAAGCTTTTTGGTCAGTCTAATGTAGCTTGTTTGGCTGCTAGATAACATGAGCTGTATCTTGGAAAATCCTGCCATCATGTGAGCATTTTGAAAATTGCATTTTAATTCAGGAATTGTTAACCTGAACAAGCAAACCTTATAGTTTTACAGTATATTCCCTTTTTATTTAATGTGATCCTTTATTCTTGCAATACACACTGCGGAAGATATATGCAATCCTCTGAAGGTATGTACTGTATGTGACACTTGTATAATAAAAAAGAATTAAGCTTGCAACTCAAATGTATACAGTAGGTTAAATCTGATTTTTGGAGTCTATGTTAAAGTTCATAGAGAAATATCCATATATTTATTTTGTGCTGACAAGCCTCATGCAAATGTTCCAAACTTTTTCAAACTTTAAAGGTCACTCCCGGAGTGTAGCTGATAACCTAAAAACCTCCCCTCTGAGGAAGTATGTTGTTGATCTTGGACTGTGGAAGGACAGGGTATTTGTGATATGGGTATTAGCAAACGGCTTTGCAAAGTTTGGGTTCTTCATACCCTTCGTGCATCTGGTAGGTGGTGTGTAATTGTGTTATGTTTTTTTTCTGAAATGTTTTTACAAAATTAGAAGTGTATGATAATAATTAAATTTAAGACCTGTAAAAAGTTTGTTTTTGAAAATAAGCAAAACCTATGTAATATGATCGGTTCTGGAAATTTTTGTGTAACTTTCTGGAAATCAAATGCTTACTAAACATGGAAGGACATTCTATAAAGGCAACTTATTGTAAAATTGTAATGAGGATGAGCAATGACAGTACCTTCTGGATTCAAAAGATTTTATTCCAGACTGTTAAAAGAACTAAAATAGCCAATGTTACTGAGCATATGAACCTTCCCTAGGTTAGTGACCAATGTGTTCAACTAATTTACTACATGCACTCACACTCTCACACCATATCACATTAACATCAATTCAATTTCCCTTCGGGATCCCTTTCCCTTTCATCAATTTCCCTTCAGGATCAATAACGTCTTATCTATCTAACTGATAACTACACAACAGTATTAAAATAATAAAATCTAAAAAATACCTCCATAGTTCAATTTCATGAAAACCAATTCTACTGTTCGTTAAATTCTTACGGTCGTGAAGTGTGCAAATACAATCCTGAAAAACTTACATTGCTATTATATTACTTTTATTGACTCAGAATTGTTTTCTCTGAAAGATGCTGCTATTTCTCCTCATTTAATGTACAGTAGATTTATGTGCACCTGTCACATTTTGTTTTGTTTCTTTGTTATGGCATGTGAACATTGGATGCAATATTCCCTGTTTCCTTTGTTGTTAATCTCCTGAAGAAGTTATGATGTTCAGTAATCGCTGCAGTGAATGCTATTATTCTTAATTGCATTTTCAAATTAATTTACACCCCAAAGCTTTCCAAAGTGCTTTACTTATAGGAGTTACTTATCAGGGGTGACCCATAGCAGCCATTATGTCCCAGCTGCACAACATGTCAGGCTGAGAAGTACAGTATGAAACTGTTTTAACAACTGAATTAAGAGGGAACTTGAGAGAGGCAAGATTGTTATACTCAGTGAAATTTAGCCCTGACCCTGGGCTTATCACCCCTACTCTTACAAACTGTGCCCAGGGATCTTTCATGAATAAGTTATCATCTCATCTCAACGTTGGCCCCTCCTACAGAACAGTGTGTCCCCTATTACTATACTTAGGGAATGGACTTGGAAATGTTTGTCCCATGGGAAGTTTACCTGGTGGGCACTATCACAGCTTACAGAAGCAAGCTGGTAGTGCCTTTCTGTCATTCCTGTTTTTAAATACATGACTTGATATTTTGTATATCTCATAATGCTGTAAGTAGTGTTGAGATAATTGTATGGCTTGTTTCCCAGCTAAAGCATGCGACTCAGTTGTCCATCTCAGCTTCCAAGGCTGGTAATATCATGCTGGTTCTGGGGCTAAGCAGCATGATTAGCAGAATCGTTTTTGGGAAGATCTGTGACTCTGAAAGAATTAATCGCTTATACATCAACCAGGGATCTGTGTTTTTAGTTGGTAAGTGAAAATTCTACATCTTGAACATATTTATATTAGAGTAATATATGTAGATATATTTATAATATCGAGTAATATATATAAACTCAATGGTTTTCTGTACTTGATCACAAAAACTAAAGTTGTGTGTTTGGGTATGCAGCAAAATTTGTTGACCTTCTGTGTTTGTCACCCAACAACTTTGAATTAATATTAATATAGCTGGTAGTTAGTAATGTTATTTGTGTGTTCTGTTTCATTTGATGACACTATTTTTACTTCACATGCATAGTATGTCGTTGTAGTGTTTAAAGTCTCTTTCATGTCATCTCCTGTTCCAGTGAAGTTAGAGAAGAAGCCAGTATGGTATAAGATCTACTAGCCTTACTATGCTGCTGTGTCTCAGTTGTATAGATGTATGCCCTGTCTCTACCATAATAACCACTCATTCGCTGTTATAGTGGGGCTCGTCACCTTCATTAAAACCCGTGCTTACATTCAGTTATATATTTTTTTTAATTCCCTTGGAGTAACTAGGTGCGTTTCACCTTTATCTGGATTCACGCAAAGCTTTGACACAGTAACACAAATAGATCATACTAGCCATTGATAGGAACCTAGAGTTAGCACTTTATTAATGAATGTAACATTCATAGTTGAATAGTGCACTGTAGTGAATTCTCCTAATTTCATTTGAAGGCTAATATATGTATTTTTTATAATTTTAAAACTTTACATGAAAGGTGACAGTGATACAAACACAAATAAACATCAATCAGTGAAAGAGAATTACATGAAAGTATTTTTAAAAAGATTGTATTTGTACCAAATCACACTTTTCTGCGAATAAAACATCAAGGCAAACAACAGGCCCAAGGCAGCATATACAGTACTCTGCATGGGATCCCAATCACACAGACACAGACACACATACTCACACCAGTCCATAAGTCCATGTTTCCGGAAGCCAGTTAACCCACAAGTATGTCTTTCGACTGTGAGAGGAAACTGGAGAACCAGGAAGAAACCCCTGTGAATATGGGAAGAACATACAAACTCCACATAGATAGCCTCCCAAATTGTGTGGAGTTTGATCCCAGAGTGTCAACGCGTCCGGAATGCTAACCACTGTGCCACCATGCCACCTGAAGCCATAGTCACATACTGTAACACATATCCGACCTCTTTAACTGTAATCAACGTTAAAGGAAAAGCAAAATAAGCATTGTGCAAATAAGCATTATTTGTACTGGTAGATCATCAAAAAAAAATAATTTTGTTATGTATTTAACTTCCATTTTACTTTAAAAGGGAGTATGAATATCAGTCAACATTAGGACATGAGAACATGATATATGAGGAGGACCTTTTCACATAATCTGTGGCCTTTGGCTTTTTTTTCCAGGGCTCTTGTACTTGTTCTTTCCCTTGTTTTACTCTTACGGTTCCCTCATTGCCTTCGGATTGTTACTGGGATTTGCAGATGCAGGAAACTACATCCTGCTTCCTGTCCTCACCTTCGATCTGATGGGGGCAGAACGGATGCCAGTAGCTTGGGGCTTCATGCTGACCGTGAATTCCATCAGCTCCTTTGGCCCACCGTTTGCTGGTTAGTGCGAGAGCACTTTGCATTTCAGTTGTTTGAGTTTGAGTTTTCTCGTGAAGCTGCTTTACACGTTGGGGAGGTTGTCTGCATCTTGGCTCTTGACTTCAAAAGCCTTGATTGTGTCAGCAGAGCTCATTTTCACATCGGAACAGGACACTGTTCCTTTCAATATATTAGAAAAGTGAATTAACTTTCTTTATAGTTTCTACGCAGATTTCCTCTAGACCGTCTGAATCAGCAAGGTTGAAACAGATTTAATTGTGTTTGTAAACTGGGAAGTAATTATTATGGCTCTGTATGTGTAACTGTATTTGTGTAATTGTGTAATTGTGGTAGTCTCCAATCCTGGGCAGGGCGCTGCTGTTTTGCCCTTGAGCAAACATATTGCACTCAGATTACTCCAGTAAAATGGTCTGTTACATAAATGGCTACATACGTAAATTTGGTTCAATTGGTTCGAACCATCAATCGGGTAAATTAACATTATATTACAACAAGGTTACAGCTGCTCTGGAAAAGTATGAAGGACAACAATCAGATTAATTCCTGAAATTAATGTTGTACTCAGAGGAAAGTAAGCTCTTTTAGCCTGGAAAAGAGATTGCATGGAGCAGTGATTCATGTATTCACAATCCTGCAAGGTATTGGTAAATTAATCCAGGGAGCTAACGTGTGGAGCTCATGAATAAAACAGTGTTCCAAGAGGTATGTGGAAATTATCATATTAATTAAGGACTGAAAACAGCAGACACTTCTTTAAAGTGAATGTATTTGGGATCAGAAACAAACCTCATAGTCATGCTTCTTCCATCATATCAGCGGATATGCCCTTTTAGCTTTCTTCCTAGAAATGAATTGATCCTAGGCTCTCATCTTTAAAGAAGCCAGGGTGCCTGCTTAGACAGTTTCACACTTCCACAACGCTTGCATAAGAACGTGCCTCCTGGTCTAAGTTCTGAAAGTACTTTTCCATAGTTCCCACTTGTGCCCTCTGGTTCCATTGGTTCCTCTGGTTTAATTGTTCGTTTTGATTCTCTACCCATTGTTGTCTTCTTGGTTCAAGACTAAAACTACTCAGTTGTCCGAGTAGGACATTCCTTTAAGCTAAATAATGTATCGGTTATTGTTCTGCAAACTGATTCTAGAGACATAATCATTTTCATAACCTGGTGATCAAAATGCACAACAGTCTGAATGACATCTTGAATGGTATGTTTCTAACATCTCTTGATTTGAATACTGCACTTTTACCTATATACCCTAACATTCGTGGTCAATTTTTGTCAATACTTCTCCACATTGCATAGATAAGAAGGTAAAATTGGTCAGATTGATCTACCTAATCAGAGGCAAGTGTGACACATCCAGGAATGGTGTGCCATATCAGAGATCTTTTTAACAGGCTGTTCAAAAGGAAACATTCACAAACGCCGCCTTTTGTGACACAAAAAGTGAAACAAAAAGAACTTGAAACCCATTATGGTTGGCACTGCATACAAAAATAACTAAAATGGACATGATAATAAAAGCTTAAGATCCCCTTTGACCTACTACACAGACAACTAGACTGTAGCTAAGCTGTTTACCAACCGGCCCCAAAACAAGTCTCTCGCCAAGACCCAGAAAAGTTTCAGAACTCAAAATTTCCATGCTCCTTACTCCACAGTTGTGTGATTGGTTGGTTGCCTCTCCCTCTGGTGAAATTGCAGAACAGAGGATCTGCCCTCTGTCTCAGATGGCAGATGTTGAAGGACCTGGAAGCCTCTCTTCCTGTTTTATTAGGTCGCCACCTGGCCAATTGCATTCTCCCAACTGATCATGTGACTGAGGGAGGCAGGATATTGCCCACAGCTTCCTGAGGAATGTAGCTCAGGCAAGTGTTTCCATCTTGTCTAAAGTTTCCACCTTGTCGTCCCCTCACACACAATATTGTGTACACAACACAATACTGTGTATAATGTATTGTATTACACTAGACAACCTACCCTCACACAAGGTATACTAGGAATCATACACTAAAGGTGTGGTAACTCGTCTTAGTTTTCTGGTGTTAAATAATATAAATGTCGTGTGTGGAATGAGTGTGACTGCAGCTTCCTACAGCAAAAAAAATTCAAAATGATTTATATAAAGCTCAAGCAAATACCTACCGAGTAATATTTAATGTGGATAACAGCAGGGTTTTTCATGCAGGTAGCAACAACATAAACTATAAATACAAAGTGGGAAACATTGAGCTAAAATAAACTACTTATGAAAAAGACTATACATAGTTAAAAGCATATAATTTAAATCAAGGCATGTTATGTGTAAAGCACTACAAAGGCCTGATTTAGAATTAATAAGATAACTAGGACAGGGTGATGAAACCAAACAAAAAGCTCACTAATATCACATGTTGAACCTGTCCCTTTCTGAACAATTCAGCTAGACCTGAGAATTGCAATGTACAGTACTTTCTGTCCCTGCTTCTGAAATAATAGGTTGGTTAGATACAAAATCTGTCATAAAGTAAGATATTATTCTGAAATTAGTCCACTGAAGACCAACCACATGAAATACATCTCTATCTGGGGGCGAGAGAGTATGACACTGACACACTGAAAGAACTGTACATTAATAGATTTGGAACAGAGAAGATTGCAAGGGGATATGATACTTCATTAAAAATCCTCAAAAGCATCGACCAAGTCAAGGCAGTGGACTTCTTCAGAATGAACAGTGACGCATGAGACAGAGGACACAAATGGAGACTACTTGAACTAGAAGCTACTTGGAAACTACTTGGATTTAAAACTGAAAAGACACTTCTTTACACAAAGAGTTGTACTTGTTTGTAGTACAAACATCTTGTACAACTAGGTGTTTGTCTACCTATCAGTGTAATTTAGTCTGGTACACTGGCTTGTTTCAAGAAACTTGTGGATAGGATCTACCAAACTGGTCAGATAGGCCAAATGGCCTCCTCTCATTTGTAACTTATATTCATTTATATTGTTTTTGGGGTTATGTTGCTTGTGTTTCATTCAGTGCTGCAGATTATGCAGGTAATGCAGCAGAGTTTAAGTCTTGTGAAAGAACTGTAGGAAAAACAGGTGGGTTCAAACAGAACTATCAGAGAAAGCCATTATTTTCTCATGCATTTTAGGAAATTTTGCTCATCTTGCTAAATGTTATCAGTCTGACCCAATGAAACCTGAAATGAAAACGACTATCTCCCTGTGAATCTAGCTCCTGGTGACATCTTCTTGTAATAAGCGCTGTTTGGTCCAAAGCTGATTTAATTTATTTTGAATTAAGACTTTGCATTAACCTTTATTTATCTTAGCTACACTTAAAGAGGCTGTGAGATCTGAATAGTTCATTTTCCTTACCTGGACATATAATACCCTGTGTATGTGGATTGGGATCTGCTAATTGAGCTAAATTAGTAAAGTCAATTAATGTCATTTACGTATTTGTTGCTATGTCATACATTCTAGTCACTCATTTTTTTAACATGATCTGTCTTGTGTTTTACCTCCATGTCCCACACATACCAACCGATTTGTTTGGCAGGCTGGATGAATGATCTCACAGGAACCTACAATCTTGGTTTTGTGGTTGCTGGAGTTCTGGATGTGGTTGCCACCTTTATTCTTGCCATGATTCCATTTGTGAAACGCTCTGCAGTGCAGAGCCACAAAAGCATCATGAATGTTACCATCTGTGAGTCTACTCGGGAGATCAGGCAATGGGATGACATCAACAATTTTGCCGAGGTAACGGTTAGTGCAAAACATTTTAAGTGTACATTTCTGAAATATTAGAAAAATGGCAGCTACTGTATTATGGCAGAGCTTCATAGATTGCAGTTAACAGCTTAAGACTTTAGTGTTTATGTATTGGTAAAGTAGTAAAGAAGAGTGTAAAGGTGACATTTTAGCAAAACAAGGACCTGGATTATGTGTTCTAAAATGTTTTTGTGTTGACATTGTGTGTGTGCTTCTTCTTTCATGACACATTGGCTCTGTATGAAATGTACTGTAGGGACACAATGAGGCTTAAACTATGAGGCAAGTCTGATTTTTTTTAACTCACACAGAACCAAAGAGCTGCACAGTATGTGAAATATGTCTCAAAGACAACGTTTCAAAACTCAGAACTCGATGAGGGAACGTCTGACAAAGAATTTGAAGAAGAGCCTGTTATCCTTTCTCTTCCTCCAGAGGAAACCATCTGATCATTATAGCAATTAAAAGATGCTTCATCCATTTGTTTTTTGTGGATTTAGTTGATGTGCTTTGTTTATAATGTTCTCTAATATTATTGTTTAAAAATTGAGCATTTTGAGATTTAGTTAATATTATTTTACTTATTTCGCTATGTTTTAATTTTAACATTGCTTTTTAACAGTAAGCAACAGATTAAGGGTAGTACGTGCTTGCTGACATACATTTACCATATGTAAAATAAATTGAGATATTTCTCAAGATCTATTTTCAAATATTATTCCCATATTGAATACCTAAAATGTTTATCACAAAAGATAAAAATATGCTTTTCCTTTTTCTTTGTCCTACACGGATACCCTTTTAGTTTCCAATTGTGACCCTTTGTCCTTGTTTCACTGCTGAGTGAGAAATACTCCCCTGGGTTGACTCTGCCCATGCCGCTTACAATTCTATGCTCTTGAATTGAATTTTGTCTCGATCTCCCTTCTTCAAAACTGAAGAAATGTAGTTCCTTCAAACTGTCTTTGAAAATTTACTGAAAAAAAAAATCATTCTTCTTCCTTTTCTTTTTTTACAAAACTTACTCTTTCCCAGACAGTGACAATATCAATTACACTCCAACAAACTGTGGTTGTCCTCCTCAGACTAGATTTTAGCCACAATGTACGCTCCGTATCTTACACTGAACACTTTAGTTTACTTGAATCATTTTTTTAAGATGCAAGATCAGTTTCTCTTCTCTAGGTTTGAAAGAGGACAGAGGCCCAAGCCAGTATGAGTAAAAGTTTCTTCTAATTGCTACAGACTGTTCAAAATTAGTACTACACAGAAAATGTTAAAATAATAACAATTAGCATCTGATTGCCTAAAGGAGGGGATGTTAATCTTTTTCCCTATAGTGCAGAAGAGGTGCCCATGGAGACTCCTCTGAGGTCTCCAGATAGTCCCCTCTGGTTGTTGTCTTTTTCCTTCTTTCTTCTTTTTACCCAAAGCATGAGGCACCGGTGGGTTTGTATACCCCAGATGATGTGAATCAAGGCCACTAGTCAAAATCTGACAGCAGTGATGAACTGAGCATATGTGCTTTTCATCACATAATATGATATAGCCACATATACACATATACACATTGACAATGTGTTTAGACCACACAAGAGACAAAATATTTGGAAATACTTAATAAGAAGATTCCAAAGTGAAGAATTAAAAAGGACAAAAATAAGAATAAAATCTAGCAAGTAGAGTTGGCTTTTAGTAAGAAATGTTATTGGAAAGACATGTTAAGTGAAAAATGAAAAAAATGTATTAGTTATGATTATTACATAATTATACTTGTTAATAATACAAAGTCTTACAATTTCTTTATTTTGGTAAACTGAACATAATATTCCCCCCTTGATTTAATTTTCACAATATATACCTAAGCATTCTGTTTACTTTTTTATTCCTTATGTACATTATTGTGATAGAGGAATGTAGAAAGTGTTTCCCACTACTCCTGTATTTGTATAACCTTTAAATTGAATTAATCAGACTATTCATGCATGTTGCTAAGAATTTCTATAGCCTTTATTTTGTGAATTAACTTTTATGAGGAACTTTAATACAGCCATATCAGACTAGTAAATACGTCGTACGATTTAGTCATCAGCTGGCCTTTCTGCTTGTCTTGAATTCAAGTGAGTTAGTGAAATAAGACTTTCCTTTTCTAAATTCATATTGGATATCTAAAAATGCTTGTTTTAAAAATATTTTTGATTTTAGCTCTCACAGTTATCTTCATTGTGGAAAACACCATTCCCAGGAAGCTGTACAGTATTGGTGTTTATTGATTTTATTTAGTTGGCTGATGTTTTTATCCAAACTCCTGATTTAAGTCTCTCATAACTGGTCACTTTGAAATATTTAAACATTTCTAAGTCCAAAGAACTTTAAAACCCATTAATTTCATCACATACGGTATGTACTGTACATTATAGCCAATATCATATACTGTACCCTTTATTCATACCCCTATGTAAATAAGAACATGAAAGAAAGTTATGACAGAGTGAGTTTAGGTTTATCTTGTTTAAAAAAAAAACTAAATTTTTATATTGTAATTGTAATATCATTGCACATAGCACAGTAGTATTTGTCATAATTGAATACAAGAGTAATGTCTTTAAGAGAAACAAAAATATAAACGAGAAGGCATTGATTTGAGAAGATTAAGTAATGTACAGTAGCACACAGTAACATTCATAGCATGCCAAAGTAACATACAGGATAGATAAGCTGGGAACTGGCAGCTAAGAAAACAAAACAGAAAAAAAATCCTTAGTGCTTTCAGCTCATAGAGACAAATTGTCAAAGTTGTAATGTTCAAAAGTGACAGCAAGTGTGAATGACTGCTTATGAGAGGATTGCCATGTATGAGGGATATTTATATTTAATAAATTGAGGAATTGACATATATTTATATATTTATATTGAAAAGTGTGTGAACCTTTTAAATATAATATATAGTGTTGTAACTGTTAATATCCCTTTGCATGCTCAAGATAGATATATGTCTGCACAAGTATTTTTACTTACTGGATATTTCACGGAAGTCAAATGCTTATACTGTACTTAATGGACCTAATTGATTTATATTCTTAATCTCTTTCAGGACAGGAGGTGGCACTGTTGCCCCTCTTTAAGTTAGCACAACAAACTTGAAGCAGCTCTCCAAGCTATTTGGCATAGTCTTTCACTGCAATACAACATTTTAATCAGTCATGTTTTTTTAATTGTGAGTATATCAAATGATTTTTCACAATTTTCATATCAGGCCATATACAGTTTTAAAGACAATAAACTGCAGGCCCATGCACCTTTAGTATGTATTTCACAGAACCCAGTTTTTGTCTTGTAGAAGCTTATGTTGTCTCTTCCCACCCTTATTTTAATTCTATTTCCCATTGTTCATTTCCTATTATCAGTATTATCAAAGCTATCAGTGAACTAACAGTGAAATGACTGATACATGTATTTAAACTGAACATTTTCTAGGTGATATAGTGATGTGGTGGTTAGGACTTGTGCTACACTACAGCTGAGTCTGGGTTTGAATCTTACTTTGAACGCCTCTGCTTTGGGAGTTTGCATGCTCTCTGCTGCTCCAGTAGCTCTGACAATTATGAAACGTTCCTTTTTCATGGCCCTGAGATGAATAGAGCTCCCACCCAGCTCAGTTCGGCTCTGCTCCCTTTGCTCCTGGGATAGTAACTGGCTTGTGACGCTCACTCAGATAATTGCCTTTCTGATAATGGATGGGTAGATGTACGAGTTGTTGCACACGTTTTGCTTTTAAATTATATGTTTAAGGTCAGGATAAAAATGTGTGTTAGCAATGTGAAAGCGCTGCTGAATGCAGGTGAGTATAAGGGGGCAAGTCACTTCACATTCAGAAAATGCACAATTTGAGCAATTGTTTTGATTTTTCCAGGCATCTAAAAAGGTTAGGTACAAAAGTAAAACAGCCACAGTAATGCATCACTGTACCTTTAAAGTGTACTATAAAGCCCTAAATCTCCTTGTAGCTTTCATTATTTTCTGGCAGATATCCTAGAGTCAGGCTTTCTGTTGAAATGTAAAAGTTTTCAGACAGAAAGCTCATACTGGGGTTTAAATGACCTATTAAATTACAATAGACCTTGAGATATAAAAATAATTTATTGAAATGGCTAAGATGTTTTTTATGAATTCAGATGACACTGGAAAAGGGATTAAAATAACTGCCTGTTTTCAAAATGAAAAAGGAAATGTCACTGCCAGCTGGAGGCACAACATTTGAAGCAACTATCCATAGGACCTTTGTCTTGGAAAATTAAATGCCAGACTTTTTATTTTATGTATCTGATTTTTAACAGACAGACAAAATAAATTCTGTTTGTAAGATGAGATGCCGCCTTCAAGGTATGTAATGTTATCTTTATTCCCCCCCAAAAAAAAATCAAACCACATTCCAGAATCATAATAATCATAGGAATGTCACATTATTAGTACTGAGTAATTTCCATATCCAAGCCACACAACATCTCATTCAGCCAGAGTTTATTCAGGTTTCTGTGGCATTACGCCAACAAGAGAGCACATGATTCCCCTTTGGATGGGTCACCAGCCCATCAGAGTGAGTGGTCCCCTGGCAATTCTAGTCTGCATTTATATACAGTAGCTGTGAGGGACTGGAGCAAAGAGTCTCACTCAAGGAACAGCAGTTATGAGTTCAGAGACCGACTTACTACACTGCACCCAGATAATGGATATAACTCACGTTAAATGTTTTAAGTAATGAAAACTCAAGTCAAAAGTGGCAATAAATTACTGAATACATTTTAAAAAGTCAAAACCTTGGAGGCACAGTGGCACGGTGGTTACAATTGTTGCCTCCCAGTACTGGGGCCCTGGGTTCAATTCCTGGGGTTCTATTTGTGTGGAATTTGAATATTCTTCTGTTGTTCATGTGGGTTTTTGCTAAGAGTTTCCTCCCACAGACCCAAGATACACTGGTAGGTTGATTGGCTTCAGGAATTTGGCCATGGTGAATGCGTGTGTCAGTGTGTGTCAGTGTCAGTCCAATCTTGGGTGTACAATCTTGAACCTGTTGCTTGCTGGGATAGACTTCCCAGCCATTTTTTGAAGATCCCAGAAACACACATTTTGAGATGTTTTCTTATTTAATTATGTAGGATCTAACTCTGGCCTCATTTAGAACATCTTGAAACTGAGACAAATAACCCTTGGTTACAGTTTGGACATTGTATTGAAGTCGTTGATCTCTGTTATTAAAATCTCTCAGATCCAGGGTAAAGTTATGTCTTCATAGTACAGCTGACAATATTTATAACTCTGCAATAAAATTTCTTAGAATTTCAGTAGTAATTAGGGGAATGATAAAAAGCTTAGCTTACTGAAAGCTAAAATGCAACATTGAACCAATAAAATGATGAGGAAAAGATTTGATTATAAAAGGACAATATTTTTAGGGCTCTGACTTTGACTTGAAATATTACAGTTGTCTGCATGGTTGACATAATGTCTGTATATTTCAGAGATGAATGTTCTGCCATAGACAAACTCAAAATGAAAAAGTACCACAGACACATTTTTTAAGTAAAGTTTGTAACTGCAGCTGTGATTTCTGCCAATCAAACAAAAACGTTTGATCGGTGTGACAATCTTATTAAGCCAGCTTTGCATTTGATACATACAGTACATACACAAGAATGTTAGAAATTCAAGAAAAAGCCAGTGATCTTTCCCATCTGTAAAATCAGAGCTTTAAGGGCTAAATTCCAAAACAAATTGCAGTCAGTGCTCTGTTTTTTTTCTATCTCCAATGTAGATCTGGACTTCAAAGTCTCCTTCACATTGTCTACATCTAAGACAAATAATTCTCCAATAAATGTATCTATTATAAAATCTGGTAAACATGGTAGGGGAAGGTATAATTTAAAGCGTAACATATTAACTTATTAAGTTTCCATAGAGATTGAGCTTACTGTCACAATATGTAATGCAGTTGAATCCAATTGAAATCAGAGAAAATGTCAGATAACATGGTGAAAAGCAAGATGGATTTGAGTCCTTTTAGTTTAAAGGAATGAAATATGCTTTCTTTTATTATTGTAATTTAGACGTTATCACACAGACCTGGAAGGTTTGCAGTTTCTGGGCCATAGTACTGTAAAAGTTGCTTTAAATAGTGAGTAGAAATCTATAAAAAGTGGCGGCATTAATTATTAAATAAACATTAATGAGGTTATACCTTAGAACAAGACAGAAGTCACTCTAGTACTCAAACACCAATTTTGCAAATTCCTACTGTATGTATAGATCAACAACAGGTCAAAACGTAAGAACAAGCAAATAATGACTAAATAAGCTGACTTATTTGGACTTCATATCTGCAAACTTTGTAGTAATGGAGGAGGAAACCATCTAAATATAAGAGGTGTAACTTGAAGGAGGGACAACACCTGAAACATATTGTTTTTCCTTTCTGATTATCAGGGTGGAATTAACCTTTACTTCTTCCTTGGCAGCCAATACACACTGACAGACACACCTCACTCAAGCTGCTTCAAACAGAGCAGTCTCACATACTGTATCTTACTTTTTCTGATAGCTGATATTTAACTTGGTATATTTTCTTAAACCAATAAAGGATATATACATAAACCATCCTTCCTATTTAGAATATAATCCAAAAAAGTAAAATAATGAATACAAAACACCTAATACATACTTTTAGCTGGGTACTGTAATGTCAAACCTGTGTCAAATTAACATTTGCAACCATGAGATTAGGCAAATTCATGTTGCATTTGTGTAACCTGGGAATTATCTGTACCTGTATCTGAATCTATAGTAAACAGTACTTGTTCTTGCATCTGCACTTTCACCTGTATCTACAGTATTGGCACCTGTAGCTGAATCTGTGTTTGTGCCTATATCAGTACTTGTACCCACACATGAAGCTACGCATCTGTGACTAAACTCATCCTTTTCTGTATCTGTACATGTGTAAAAAATATATATATATATATTACACGCTGTTTTGCCATATACTGTTATTACAGTATGTCATATATGACAATAAATTGAATTAAATAGAACTCAGTATGGATATGTACCATGTACAGTATGTCTGCATCAGCAATGTGACCTTAACAATACCATGTCATAATTGTATATAAATTACAAGAGGAAAAAGATCCTGAGATAAAGTTTTAAACAAGAATCCACAAAAACATACAAATGAGCAAATAGGAGGTTCTAAGTGACCATTTTATTGTGGTACTTCATTTTAGCTGAGATACATGATCAAATAGCTTAAAAGCCATACATTAGTATATTAGCTGTTATTAAGTACAGTTGACGATTAGAAAGCATCTGTCTTCGCAAAGTCAGTATAGCTGCTTTTGAGACATTTTTAACAACACGGCAAATCCTAAAGTCCACACAAAGTCCTTAACAATTCAACAAAGCCGGCCTGCAGTGTGCACAGGTCTCTGTCGCCACATACTGCTTCACCAGCACAGCTGTAGTACTGTTTTTCAAACAAGAGTGTTACACACCACAGGATTTTTCTCCGGGTGTGCTTCTGGATTCCTCGTTTGCTGCAGTAAGCGAAACGTTCTGTAGGTACAAAACTGTTTTTCGTCTTTGACGAAGACACAAAAGGATAAAAAGCTATATCCATTTAAAGTCCTTCGTATTTAGAAAGTGCCGTTGTAGTGTCTGCTAGGAAACTGGCATTACAAAAGCGATTTCGGTGAAGAATAGAACTTTGGCGGCTGGAACTCTGAACGTGCACTGCAGTGATCAGTGTGAGAGGAAACCGGCTGTGTTCCTGTTCGGTAATACCCCACTGGGAGTATCTTTTTTCTCAAGTACACACATGAACAGAAACCAGCAAATGCGACTACACACCAAATAAGAATTCCAATGTACTTGTTACAAATGGCAAATAAACTTGAAGCGTGAACACACCTTATGTGTTGCCTTGTTTAGAGAAAAAAGACAATAATGCTTGTCGCGACCTTGCACATGCAGAAATGCAGGTTGACACTGACACCACAGTGCCACTGCCCTGCAATCACGTTGTGCAGAATGCAAATACAAGAGGACAGTCAGACTCCCCATGGAGGATCACAACTGAGAAACGGAGGCTCTGGAGGCGTAATTACTTTTCACGAACTGCTCAGCAGGGTCATATGCTATTTTGAGCTGAGGCTTCCCTTGCGTAGAAAATCACTTCATGAGCTACGTTTTCTTTCTCCACATAAAACAGTATTATGAGCTGCTCTAGTACAGAGACTTCATTTTTAAATGAATGAAAGAAGATTTATTTTTGTGCAGGGGCTTACTTGAAAAGTGGATTTAAAGAGAACTGAAGGATTTTAGCTGTTAAAACACTCATCTGATGATTTCATTCTTCACAGATAATGTGCTTTAATGAGAAAAATAAAATTGTTATGGTCCTCCATGGAGATCAGACAGCATGCGTGCATCCCTGTGCTATTGTTTGAGGCTAGAATAGTTAATATCAAAATGAAATGACAGAACGTTAGTGTTGTGTCATTATAATCAACTTCCTGGACAATTCAAGCTAATTCCCAGTGGAAAACGTAGCAAAAACCATACAAAAGCACCTGGGATCAAAGAGGGTATTAAATGGGAATGCAATGCAACATCTTCCTTACACCTTGTAAACAACAGTGGCCATAGAGGACTTCTCATTGTACTGTTCCCCAACATGATTGGTATCAAAATGATTAACACAGTTGAAATAATTGTATATCCATTCAATTCAGTTCCATTAAAAACTGGAACCTGTCAAACATCTCTAAAGATGTGACATTTCATGGTGTTATTTAACACCTCTTTCCTTTTCGAAAAAACAAACAGAACACATCTGCATTCAGCAAATCAAAATTATCCACAAATATGCCTGGAATAAATGCTTATGCTTCTATTAAATATCTAAGCAGAAAAATATATAAAAGTACAGAATTTCAGCACATGATTTTATCAAAACCAGTTACAGAGAGTTAAGGCAGTGCCCCCCACAATTGGACCTAAAAAAAAAACAGTCCAGCAGGTTGTGTGAGTCTCTTTAAATTGGAGGCCTATCCTAGTCCCAGAGGGGATTAGGTTTCATTTTTACCGAGCTCCAACAAACCTAAATCAATTCATTATTGAAGTAATTGGACCATTTAAACAAATTCTCCCAGCTCTTCAGGTGCTGGATCTCTAAAGAGACTTAAATGACCAGTTCAAGGATCGATTAGACACCCCCTACCGTACATTACATCAGCAGCAGCACAAGACCTTAGAAATTTCAAATAGCTCTATGAAGGTTTAATTGGACCAGTTCAATTTAAAACTTACATTATGTCTAAGGCTGCAGGTTTAAGGTGGCCTGCAAAACAAGCATGCTGGATTGATGCACTGAAAGACTAAGCAGCAGGCAAACTTGTTTTTAATAATTATTGAATTCTGAAAGCACTGAATTCAAGGTCTGGATTTGAAAGTTTTTTTACATTACTTGTTTTTGCATTATTTTTACTTAAGTACATTTGATTTATTTATTTTTTTCATTACTTTGCAGTAGTTAAGTCGAACCCATGAAGAGAAGGCGTGATTTTAACAAAGCAATGACAACCCGTTCATAAGGTCGGGGCTATCAGAACACCATCACCACCACCATCATTTAATAAAGGATAAATGATGCTTGGGCGCTACTGCAAGGGCGAAGATGGGGTGTAGAAAAATGCAAAAACGTGGAAGAAACACGATATTTTCAAGTAGGTAGACGGAAGTGTACTACGATTTGACCTACTCCCGAACTTTTGTTTAAGACTCAATTTAACATATAATCTTGTCGTAGAGGGAATGCTTTTAAAGGACTTTCCTTGCAGCAGGTGCTGCATTAAACAGTTATCAAGGAAGGGCATACACTAACGAAGGAAAAGAATGCTAGCTTAAAAGAAAGTGTGCATACTGTGTTGTCGCTAATACAAATTAATATATCCCAATGCATTAAGTAAAAACAAATTTATATTTGAAAGAATATCCCTGGAAAGGTCGAGGGCGTACGGCAATAATATCTCTAATCTGGCATGCAAAAATTCATTCCGATTTTAATTTACAAAACATCAAACCCTACAGAACGGTACAATGCAGGCAAGGTGTTTAGACAAGACTCATCTGATCACCCACTAAGATCATTTTAGCCAAGCCGTATAAATCCATCTTTCGAAATACTGTATGAGCAATCCCGACGTAAAATACCCATTACGCACTCTTCTCTGCCTTTTCATGGAGGCTGAGTATAAAGGGAAAGAGAACGCCCTTAGCTTCAAATGGAGCTTTCAGCTCTTCTTGTTCAAATCGTGCGTTTTCCTCCTCTATGATGAACCGCAATGTATGCGATTTATTTACACAGTAAATGCAGGTACCTATGACTGCGCATCTGAAAGGCAGCGGATTGGTCTGTCGCAACGAGGCGCTTTCGTTCCACAGCTTCACAATAGTGTTGTATTTGAAAACATTAACACCCTGGTCACGGTTAACGTCAAATCTGTAAATGAAATTTTTGAAGGCCACCATGTCTGTGGATTTCTTCCTGCTGTTGTTGTAGGGGCACTCTTGCCACTCGTCCTTCTTCGGGTCGTATTTGAGAAGGCGATAAAAGAGCGAACCTCCAGACACATAAATTTCTCCGTTGCAGGTTGTCGCTTCGTGCGCAACAGCAAAAGCTCCTTTGGGCAGCGGAGCCACAGGAGTCCATCTGTCCATCCGTGGGTCGTATTTCTCCACGGTAAACAGACACTCTCCTCCTATTGCATACAGGTAGCCTTCCAAGGCAACTAGTTTAAGCTGAGACCGTGCTTGATTGAGTGGCCTTATTTCGCTCCAGCTATCGGTAATAGGATTATAGCAAAATACCTTATCCGACAGTTTGCCTTTGTCGCCATATCCCTTAATTCCACCTGCTACAAATAGGTAGTTGTACATCGTGCAAATTCCACAGCCTTTTGTGTTTATGTCTTCTGGCATCCGAGTCAGAGGTCTCCAGTCCTTTTCTGCTTCGTTATAGTAATATATCAAATGATTTTCTTCTAAGGAAACAATAGATAAAGGGCTCTGAGGACGACTGTTATCTCGACTTTGAGGTCTGCTTCCAACCCGGTCATAAACGTCGTTTATTTCAGCCACCATTAAACATTTCTTGCCTTCCATTCTCGCTTTCAGAATCAAATCTCTTTCAGATCCAGTTAAACGCCCATAAACGGAGGGATCCCTTAAAATCTGTAAGAAGTTATCGCTCATAAATCTGTACGCCGTCTCTTTGAGCTCGCTTAATCTTTGCTTTTTAGCTATGGTTAAAATGTCATAGCAGTTCTCAGTAGTAATCTGCCCCGACATTGTATCCATTGCCGTCTGAACTGCGCAAGGGATTTGCAGAATTTTAGCCCCGGTGATGACCTCCACCACATTATCCTTGTTCACTTCCATCCTGGAAGAATAAATATAATCTATTAAAATCTTGAGAGTCTTATAACTCACCCCCTTTACCTTCAGAATGTCTCTCGATAGCCGTGCCTTGAAATAGTCACTTTTCTCTGCCAAAATGGATTTGTGTGCCCGGATTTTCTTTCCAGCCACTTCAATCACTAAATCCGGTTCTTCTTTAAAACTGCACAGATTTCTGACTCCATTTCCACTTTCCCATTGTCCTTGAATTGATTCCAGCCCCAGGTTTCCTTGTATTGTCCCGAATCCCCCCTGTTCGGTTCTGTGTCCCTCACTGACCAAATGACCAAAGTCGTTTATTGGCTCTGCTCCCAAAGAGATACAATAAGTAACAGGCACGGAGATCCCCTCCTCCTCCTCCAGAGCAGAACTGGCGGTATTAATCTGACACTGACTTTTCACGATTCCCCTCTCTTTACAAAACACAGCGCCTCTTTCCGCTTCGTCTTTGGTGTCGGTAGAGAAGCACAAGGAATGGCTCAGGCTGCAGGGCGATTTGGCCTGAGCGCCGGTAGGATCCTCCGCCGCTCCGTTTCTGCTAATGGGATCACGCTGGTCTTGAACAGAATCCAGTACTCGTATTGCGGTAGTTTGCTGAAAAGGCTTATGGACGCTCCTGTCAGAAGAAATGTGAAAATTCTGAAACTCGGCCGCTCGAAACGGCAGCCAGGGCTTTTGGTGGGCATTCGGATCACCTGTGCAGGCGCCTCTTGGTTCGTGCGGATAGACATCCGTGTCCAAAATCGGGTGTCCCTTTACTAGCGAGTCCATTGCGTTTCCCGGGGCTTTGCTGGCCACTCTGGCTCTCTGTCGGCAACAAGCCTGATTTTCTTGCGGCGTTCTCATTTCTGGCACATTTTCAATGGACTCCTGTTTCAACACAGCACTTTTGCCTAACTGATCTCCCCCTTGAGAAACAGGAGGTGTGTCAGCGTTAGCATTGAGAAAACTAAACTCTGCCTCCGGCTTGAACTCCATGCGAGGGCGGGTTGCGGCGGAACACTGCGCTCCTTCATTCACCATTCCTCTCTGGAATCTCACATTTTGAGCTGTTGCTTTGGTGGTGCGGTCCTTATTCTGTAGAAGGGGATTCTGCATTTCTTAACAATCTGAAAGGACTGTCGTCCAATGGGGAAATTATGGTGCAAAAGGAGTACCCATGCTATTTGACTTTTTGTCCTCTTTTGTTTTTAGGAGAATCACCCCCCCACACCGAATAGAAAGATAGCTTAATGAGGTTAACTGGAGTAATAATTTTATTTGTGTGTTCCGTCAACCCTGTTGCATTCCAGGGATCTCGTCTTTTGAAAGCATTTCAGGGTTAAAAAGCATCATATTGAGTCATGAAGACCACTGTGGCGCAGTTACTGTACATCCAAAGCGGGCTGGGATACTGTAAACTGGCCGCATTGTTCAGTTAATTCCGTTTTGAAAACAAAAAAAGAAGTCCAGAGCCTTGTTTCAAGATGACTCAGAGACAGGGGGTGTAATTGCACGAGGGTGTACAGCCTCTTGATGTAGTTTTGCGATGAATCAGTTTTTTTGATGAACGAGTCATCATACGGGGCTGCTCTTCAAATCCACATGTATCCTCTCGTTCCAGAAAATCTCCTCAAGGAGTCTATATCTCTATGGAAAAAAAATGAGAGCATTTAGTCAATTGATGAAATGCGTATTTGTAATCTATTGCGTTTAAAAGTCCACTGCATGGCATAACGCCACCTTGTGCTTGGTTTTTGTACCCAAATCCAAATGTGAATTAAAAGTACAAACAAGATTTACTGAAATATAAATCAAATGTTTAAATGCACGATAGAGCTGTTGAGCAATTTAATATAAAATGACTAAATGCAGTAAATGAAAAAAGGAATAGGGGATACATGGATAAAGACTGACTAGTGTATCTGAGGTTTATATATTTTTTTACTTTTTTCGAAAGAAAGCTTCGAGACCACTAAATTGTCCACTATATAAAACCAGATCGCATTCCGCGCCGTGTTTAATGTTTTTTTTTCTATTCCCGCATGTTTCAGGTCACGCGTGTGGGTGTGATGTATTGTTCTCGGTGTGACTGCTTTATGACCGTCGACTCTTAAAAAATTCCGTCTTGGTCCAACCCATCAATGGTTCCAGGAACGAGCTTTGGCAGTCCTGTGGGTGTTTTAACAGGACCTCTGCATCCGTTTGGAAGTGTACGGTTGACATCATTGTTAATTAAAAATCAAATGCAGTCGGTTGTCCGCTTTAAAATTGTATTTCACGAAAACGAAAACCTCCTTGTACTGTACAATCTTCACTCTATCGTTCCTGTTATTACGTCATTGCGTTATCCTCGCTAGACATTAAAACCTACAGTATAAGTTCACCGGATAAATGACACGTGTTGAAATCCTTGTCTCAGATTTGTGGCCTTTATTAAATACAAATAATTAAAATGCAGATAGCGATGTATGTTTCAATGGATTAATAGCACATTGCCATTCACTTTTAAACAGTTCGGTAAACTGAACCCCCCAGACATATACAATAGAAAAACGAACCCCCTAGACATATACAATATGAACAGCTTTGAATTACGAATAGGATTTAATTGATTTTGATTAATTAATACACTGTATGACATCCCACGGAAAACAAAGTAATCAAACCATTTATATACTTTTGTACGCTTTCGATATTCTCCACTATGGAATGCTAAACCGCTTGTTGTTTCAGTAGATCCTGTGTTTTCGGATCATTTATATAACTCTATACAGTATATTTATTTTTTTCTGGATGAGAGAATCACCTAAACCATGTGTTTTCCATGATGTTTAAAATGAACTCTATATTATGATCGTTTTATTGTTTATTTTAGATTATATAAACTGTTATTTGGTACTCTGAGATACAGCTGAGCATGCTCAGACAGCGGAGCGAGAGCACCAGTGTGGATTAATTCGGTATGACAGAAGAAAGCACCCCCTTTAGAATAAGCATCTCTTTATGTAACTATCGTTTAGTGAATCGTGCTGTGCTCCATCCCTTCCATACATATAACAAAATGAATTAAAAATAATCCAAGCAACAATGATGTAATGAACAATATTAATAAAGCTTTTTTAATTATCTGCATTTAGTAAATTAATGACTATACAAGTACTGTATATACATTGCGGTATTGTGATGTGCAAAGTAGTTGGAATTAAAAATGAAAATAGCAGACAACGACGTTCGTAAACTTCTCTGAAGAGAGTCCTATTCAACACAATATAGCGTTCGGTTTGTACTTACGTGTCATCTTTGTGCGCTAGTAGCTCAAAGTAACCAGGCTGTCTTTTACTGTTATGCAAGATGCTGGTGGATTCGGAAAGACCACAGTTTGACCGAAAATAGTTGCGACCTGGGCGGGAGCTGTCAAGTAAGTATATATTATTCCTTGTGAAAGAAATCCCTTTAACCTGGCCTTCGCCTGCATTAGTTTTCAATAGTCTATGCGGAATCGCTTCCGTTTGTTTGACTTCAAGTCTGATGCAACCTGCTGTTATTTAAATCCTGTCCCGCAGTGCTCTGTGCTAGTTACGAGGAAAAAAAATGAAATCTCTATTTCGCGGAGACGTTTTTTTCCAGATAAAATCCACGGAAAATCCATGGATCCATTTTCAGTTCGCGTACAGTAATTCCGTTGTAGTAATAATATATCCACGTTTATCAGGGACTCGTTGCAGCCGAAAATGTGCACTCTCTGCAAGTCAGCAAAACGGGGTTACTGTATGTAGTGCGGCTACTGGATAATGTGTTCTTCAAGTTCAGGAGAAAAAAAACGACACTGTATTCGTGTATTCACTTCGAAGGGATAATGTTTTGGTTTTACATTATGGGAGGGGCAATTATTTAACAAACCGCACCCCTTTTATTAACCCTACACAAAACACTGCAACACACACATACTGTGCACGGGAGGGACGCGCCTCTGCTGCTTATTACTAGAATTATGAAATTATGTCACACATGGACAGACTGGGAATACCATAGGTGCAAGTACTGGTCGTTTTCAACTGGATCTCCTATTACAGTTTGAAGTATTTCTGAATCGTACCTGAACCGTTTTTTTTAAACTGTTGCATCTGTAGTAATTAAGTTACTTTAATCATTATGTACAGTATACAACACGTTAGTACAGTTATGCCAAGTAATTTGATCATAAAGCGACACTTAACAACGTCGTATTTTCACTTAACTTGTATGGAGAAGTATACATTTATTTTGAATGGTCATTTGATGGGTTTTAGCGTGCAACAGAATACAGTTTTCTGGGTTCCTGAAGGTACAGTAATGTAGAGTAATTTTAGGAATGGCACTTTTTTAGCTGTTAAAACAAGACGCATATTATTGGCTATAGAAGACATATCCGTTTTACACAATTTTACCATTTTAAACTATGGTATTATTTAAACAATTTGCTATTATGTAAAATGCAGCAAAATAATGAACTGCGATATGCAAGTGGGTAGACCAACAGCTGAATGCCAAAAAATTCACTTTAAGATGATGATGTCTGTTTAAACTGGGACACTTCATACAATTCTAAACAGCCCCTTAGTATTGCACCATATGAGCTCAAAAGTAAATTTTGCATTGGCCTGATTGTGTTTTTCCATCTAGTATCAAATTAAGAATGCAGGATTCCAATCTTCTATTTCTTAAGTCCATGAGAAAAAAA